CCGAGCGTGGTGCGGGCCACCCACCCCCCTCGCGTGCCGTTCCGGCCTTCGTAACAGCACTTGCCCCAACAATCTGTGAAGGCTATGCGGGGGATCTTTGTCTTTGTATGTGTGTGACCACAGCAAGGGCCTGCTGAAGCGCCGCGACATCGATCCCTCCGGCCTGGAAATCCCTTAGTGCTGGACAGCTCCACCACATGGCGGTCCACCCGTGCCAAGAGGGGGGTTCACCAGCACCTGGGAAGGTCGCCGTTTCGCAGAGGAGACGCGAGAGATGCATCCTGGAGTCACCAACGCGAAGTGGCACGAGCGCCTAAAGCGCTAACCCCCACCCCCCCACCATCCACAAGCCCATTCAGCGTCTTCGATGGGCAGCCAAGACGTATGGGTGGGCTATTGGAAGCTTCGGGTCTTCTCGGCAACGTCATGCCCTTGCGAAACGTTGACCCCCTCCCCGCTAATGGAACATCATCGCCGGTTAGAAACATTCAGGCTGGCCTGCCTTCCGATCCATCCTGGGTTTAACCAGGCTGGCTGGTGTGAGGAGCTCACAAATCCTCAAAAGATCTGGACAAAGTCCCATAGGTGATCTTTTCCGGCAGGCAAGGCTGCGTTGGCTGGGCCATGTAGCCCGCATGCCCAGCCACCGCATGCCTTTTGTTCGGCCGGATCGAGGGGGCTAAACGGGCGCGGCACGGGCTAGAGAAGAGATGGAGTGATGTGGTACAGGAGGACGTGGAGCTGAGTGGACTTGCCGATGACTGGTACCAGCGGTGTCAAGATCGCCCTCTGTGGAGGAGGCTCGTGAAGGACGCTACTGATGGGCAGTTGGAGGCAGTCGCGCTCCAGTAACAACGGAGGGCAGAGGAGCGACGCTCACAACAACGAGCGGAGCGTCGGGTGGATAAAACGCAACAAGTTGGCACAGGAGGGGGCAAAGGTGGTGCATCGGCCAGTCATCTCAGTCATCTCAGTCAGTCGACCAATGGCACCTGGGTCTGTCGCGTGACCGTCTCCTAGCGAGAGTTCAACACTTCACGTGGCCTCAAGGTGCACATAGCCTGGCACAAGCGCCGTTCTAACGTCACCGCCACTTAGTGGCGAATAGCGGTTGTTGTATGTGAGTTCGATTCCAGCTCACGGCCACCAACACGAGTGACGATTGTGGGAATCGGTCCTGGGCCTCTCCTAGGTCGACTCAGCCTCAAATGAGTACCTGGTGCGGTGTGTAGTAAACATCCTCACTGGGGGAGACAAAGGCGGCCGGCGTGGTGCTGGCCACCTCGTGTGCCGTGCCGGTCTTAATAGGTGCTACTCGCTATCAGCACTTGCCCCAACAGCCTGTTAAGGCTATATGGGGAATCTTTGCCTTTGGGTGTTGCGCAATGTTATGACGTCAGGGTTTTGGTAGTACATGTTGTTTATGTCATTTATTGTGAAAATTCCGTCACAGTTCCTATGATCACTGTTTCATTGCTTTCATGGCTTTATTTTGGTGATTTCGAAAAGTTTATTGGTTTGGCCATGTTTGTTTGTTGTAGTACGGAGTAAGACTGATGGCCTTAATCTAAGTTGTCTTGTGGTTGTTGTTGTTGTTGTTTGACTTGCATCCCACTGGGATGTTTGCACACAGCGTTGGTGTACGGTGCTTTTTCTGCAATATTTTGCTGTCTTTTCTTGGATTTTCTGTTTGCACTTAGTCACACAGTCACTTTAAGATGTTTTCTTGTTCATGTTTTTGTTTGTTGTTTGTTGCGGTTGCACCCGATTCAAGAGCCGAATAATGGCTCACAGGGCTATACCTAATAAATGAACTTGAAACTTGAAAGAAATCCCCCCCGGATAAAACCTGAACAGACTTTTGGAACAAGTGCCACACACGATGCGGAAGGGTCACCGGCAAACCCAGTGCCCCCCCCCCCCACTCCGACCGCCTTTGTTGCGGGGGGGGGGGGGGTAGAACTCTGCATCGGAGGCCAGCGGTGTCGCGTTCTCCGCTCGGCGCCCAACCGAGCCCCCCCCCCCCCCTGCCTGAGTGGTCAGGGCGCAGGGGGGGGTGCATTGCAACGGAAGTTGTTTTGCAATGTAAGCATCCTGGACGTCCCTAAATTGCCTTCCTTCTCGTAAAGAGGAAAGATTGTGATGAGAAAGGTTTTTTGCTGTTGTCCGTCTCCCCTCTCCATCCCTCCCTCCCTCCCAGCCAAACGCGTGAGATGAACACACCCGGAAAACCACAACCGGCAGGGATGGCTGGGCATTTAATTGAGTGCAGTGCAGAACAATCCATTCTGGATTTTTGGCCAGAACACATCGCAATTCCGACAGATTACCTGCAAATTACTCAATTGGAATGACACGGCATGGACGTAGCTTTGTATGACGTATGTATATCTATATGGGACCTTTTCGCCAGTATCAAAAATGTGAAAAAATAGGAATATGGTTTTCCCTTTCTGGAAAAATAGAACAGGCGTCAAGATGTTCAAACACTAAATAGCTACTTTTTGCAAGGCATCATATGTGTGTTGAACGTCTTTCGCCACCGTATGTAGCCACCCAGAACCGGCCCTCGACCTTTGGGGGCCCTAAGCAAAATTTGGTTGGAGGCCCCTTTGATGTATGATTTTTTTCACCCACTAGTTAGCAGTGACTCTAGGGGGCCCTCTGCTGGCCACGGGGCCCTTTGCAATTGCAAGGGTCGCTTAGTGGCTGGGCCGGCTCTGTAGCCACCCGTGCTAATCCGAGGTGCAGGGGAAGGACAACAAACTAAACACAAAAAAACAAATGTACAACTACCTGCAAATATTCAATTGGAATTACACAAAGCAGCAACACCCCCCCCCCCCCCCCCACTGCTAAAGCCTAGCAGGACCCCTCCTTAAATAGTTGGTGATACTGACCTGGGTAAACAAGCGTAATAATTAGAATAACACCATAATTGATTACATTATTATATAATTATACAAGTATGGACGTATATTTGTATCATGCATGTATGTATGTATGTTGAACTTTTTTCGCACCGTAATAGCCAACCGTGCTAATTGGAGGTGCAGTGTTGAGTCCATGGCAGTGTTAGTCTATGGGCCGTATGTATGTACAATATGTTAAAACTTCTTACGCACCGTACGTAAGCCAACATTGATAATCGCTCATCCAGGCACTATCCAGGCTTAAACCGCCGCGCTTAGTTTCCGAAAGCTTCCGAGAGCTTAGAGAGGAGATCAGGCGCGATTTTGGTCCAAACACTGTGCATTTAAATAATAAAACATAATAACGACAACAGCCATTTAGAAACATGCGTCGAGGGGCCGTCCATAAAGACGTCACGCACCTGGGGGGGGGGGGTCAGACATTTGTGACGATGTGTGACGAGGCGGGGGGGGTTTGAGAGATGTGACGTCACATCAAAATGCGCAACTTTCAATAAATATAGACAACACGTTCTACTTAATTAAATAGACTTTGTAATAAATGTTTTCTCCTACAACATCAGAGTGCAGCGGCACATCAAACACGCACTACAATGACAATAGTTTAAAGCGATTTGAAGCACGTTTTATTTGGGGGGGGGGGGCAATGCTTTGTGACGTCATATTTGAGGGGGGGGGGGTCTGACTTTTTGTGACGCCGTGTGACGAGAGGGGGAGGGGGGGGGGTCAAAAATCGTCCAAAATCGCGTGACGTCATTTATGGACGGCCCCATAGATAATTTTGCTGCTATACATTTCCACATGATGGGCCACTTCGTTGAGCTACCATTTGCGATGGCCAGGTCGCTTCTGAACAAGTATAACCCGTAAAAACAAAGTTTTTCACTATAAATCCTTTATATGCGTGGCGGCTAGAGTCCTCTCGTCCTCTGGCTTGAGATGGCTGCCACCTATGGGTCAGATGATTGTCTGCCAGTATTAAGCAATTGGTAATTAAATATTTTATTTGTTTTCCCTAAACAGTGTAAAAGTTTTGAAAAAAAATTTCACGAACATTAATTGTCTCGCACAACGAGTCTCTGTGCAAAATGTCAGCTCGATTGGATCACGGGAAGTGGGTTAAAAAACGACCGAAAGATTTGCACGGTCGTAAGCAAGCACGCAAGCACGCAAGCAAGCGAACTTAATATAAAGGATTTAAAAAGCAGCTCAGAGCTCAATGGGCCTTACATGGTTAGACAAACATTGTTCAGTTTTGTTTGTGTATATTTGTAAATGTATTTGTTTAACCTTCCTATACTTTGCACTCCTATCGTGTTTTTTTATTGTTTGTTGCTGTAACCTTTCTGACCCCGTGCCCCTACTGCTGGACATCTGTGAAGAAAGAGCTTTATAGCTAATCGGATTCCCTCCTCCAGTCTAAATCAATATTCTGATATTGGGGGCTCCTTTGCTGCTACTACTGCTGATGATGACGAACAACGGTGATGCCGTGGTCACGTGACCGAGCCGGAACGGGGTCGAAGGTCAACGCAGCAACTTCAGCCACGGACCCCTGCAAAGTACTGTTGTAGGAAACAAATCACTTAAACAAAAACATTTAAATATGCAAATAAAACTAAAGCATTGTTTGTTGTTGCAACCTTTCTGACCCCGTGCCCCTATTGCTGAACATCTGTGAAAAATGAGCTTCGGATTATCTCCTCCAGTCTAAATCAATATTCTGATTATTCTTTGGTTCTTTCGGTAAAGTCACGTATAAAGATAAAATAATAAATTAAATAATTGCATACTACGACGTTTCGATTGCAACGTCGTAGTATGCTATTATTTAAATTTATTTTTATCTTTATACGTGACTTTTCGATTGCAACGTCGTAGTATGCTATTATTTAATTTATTATTTTATCTTTATACGTGACTTTACCGAGAGAACCAAAGAATAATTCCTGCAGTCACGAAAGCTCCAAAATTATCAATATTCTAATATTGGGAGGCTGTTTGGCACCGCTGATGATAACAAACAACGGCGATGACGTAGTCACGTGACCGAGCCGGAAGTGGGGGTCGAAGGTCAACGCAGAAGCAATGGATCCCGCACAGAAGATGGATCATCTTCTGGCGCTCAAAGGTGCGCGTCTTGCCTCTCTTCTCCAACTCTCTCGCTCAGACACACTCGGGCGAATGGGCGACGAGGCGGCTGCGACTCGATCGAGACGCGAACGTGGAGCGTTTCATTTAAAACAAAACTAAAATTAACTTAAATCGATCACTTTGGCGTCCCGGAAGGGTAGGCCCGAGTGGAGGCGCCCGGGAGGACGCCGCTTGCCTAGCGGCTCTGCCCGGTGTGTTGAGGGGGAGGAGGGGAGCGGGGTGGGGGGGGAGGTCCGGGGTAGAACTGGAGTCGGCTGTTTTTTTTAAATATAAAACATTAAACCGGTCCAGCTTCTTGGTTCTTTCGGTAAAGTCACGTAGAAGGGAAGTAATGTTTTACTTTTTATTATTTTATTACTTCCCTTCTACGTGACTTTACCGAAAGAACCAAGAAGATGAATCCCTTGCAGTCACGAAAGCTTTAAATCGAAAATTACACCGGTCGTGTTGGTGTTAATGAGTACGTGCGCTTAATGACGCATCATGCACTTTGTAAAGTTGGTGAGCGTTATCTTTCTAGATTTGAAGCTTTCGGTAAAGTAAAAAATCAAATAAAAAAAAATCTAATGTTTTATTTCTTTTTTACCTATGTGACTTTACCGAAAAAACCAAAGAGTTATGAGCGTTATCTTGTTTACACTTTTCTCCGGGATATTACAGACGCACTCCCACCCACCGTTACGTGTGCGAGATATACTACGAACTTCGTGGAACGAGTCTTGCAGTGGCATTAAACACGTACACGGTATGATGTATATTATTTACATTCACGGTATTTAGACCAAAATCACGCCCGAACTCCTGTCTAAGCTCTCGAGAGCTAAGCGGGGCAGGTTGAGTCTGGATAGTGCCTGGATGAACGATTCGCACGGCTGGCTTACGTACGGTGCGAAAGAAGTGCAACATGCTGTACATAAATACTGCACGTGCATACTGCCCATACATTCTGCACCTCCGGTTAGCACAGTTGGCTACGTACGGTGTGAAAGAAGTGCAACATGCTGTACATAAATACTGCACGTGCATACTGCCCATACATTCTGCACGTCCGGTTAGCACAGTTGGCTACGTACGGTGCGAAAGAAGTGCAACATGCTGTACATGCATACTGCCCATTAGAATAACACTGCCCATAGATTCTACACTGCACCTCCAATTAGCACGGTTGGGCTACGTAGGGTGCGAAAGAAGTTCAACACACTGTACATAGTTGGTAACTCGTGGCCCAGAGCCGCACACGGAACTGCTTCGTGACGTTTATTTCAGAATCGGAGTATTGTATTTATACTGCAGGAGGAATCCGATGAGCTATTAAGCTCTTTATCACAGATGTCCAGTTAGGGGGCACGGGGGTAAGAAAGTTGTCAAGGAGCCTCCCCACCCGTCTCATTCACCACATTGCATTTGAAGGCTCTTGAAATATTGAGATGTTATCATTTTTTACTAGTAGGAACCTCCTGGTTACACCAGCCCACAGGGGATTATTGTGTCCGTCCGTCGTGCAGGTAGGGGCTGGGTGGGGAGGGAGGGGCTGGGTGGGGAGGGGAGGGGCTGGGTGGGGAGGGTGGGGCTGGGCGGGCGGTGGGAGGGGTGGGGCTGGGTGGGGAGGGGCTGGTTATCGGCAAAGTTTTGAGCGTGAATGTCATTTTACAACATCGTTGCCTTGCTGTTGTCTGCCAGTCGAGTCACCCTTGAAAAAAAGAGATTCTTAGCTCAATGGGCTTTCATCATCATCATGCGTTGTGAGGTCAGCGTTGTTTCACAATTTGGTTCCGGCTCAGCATGACAGAGAGCCGGTGGGAAAAGCTGTGGCTCGGCTCTGATGTAACGATGGAAAAAGGGCACAAGGGCAGACGACCCTGCCGGGCTTTAATTTCTCAGTAGAATATGGGGGTGCCACGGTGGCTAGGAAATGTTAACTACCTCGCCTGGTATACAGGAGGTCGTGGGTTCGATCCCGACCCTGACGCCTGCTGTATATTTGGAATTAACATGTTCTCCCTATGGTTGCGTGGATTTTTCTTCGGGTCCTCTGGGTTTTCCCTCCACGTTTACAGTAATTTGGCTGCTAGAAATTTCCGCGTGATAATAAGCCATTTTGTTGAGCTATCATTTGTGGCCAGGTCGCTTCTGACAGAAAGCTGCACAGCTCATCAGGGTGGCCTTACCTGGTAAAATAAAAATAGTAGTAAATAGTAAAATTTTGTGCAGGGTCGCTCGTAATATATTGCAAGAGATTGCCGTTTGATTAGCGGCCGCATCCAAAGGGAGAGAGAATGGAAATCGTTGTTCTGGGTTCTGGGGTGTGGAAACATCTTCCCGTGTCGCTGACCTCGGACAAACCCGGCACGAAACGATGCTGCCCTCACCCCCACTCCTCTTGGCCACGACATCAAAGATCAAAGATCCCCCGTATAGCCTTAACAGACTGTAGGGGCAAGTGCTGTTAGCGAGCACCTATGAAGGCCGGAACGGTACACGAGGGGGTGGGTGGCCAGCGCCACGCCCGACCGCCACGACATGCACACACACACACTGTCGGCCGCTTTGTTTAAAAAAAAAACCAACGGCCGCGGGTTTTTAACGCAGAGAAGAGCCGCCTCGCGCCGTCCTCGACGCCCGACTCCCCGCCCTCTGAGCCCGGCCTGGAGGTGACGGTGCACGCGTGGAGTGGCCTCCCCGGGCTGCCGCGGCCGCCGGACAGCTCCTCCTTGCGCCGCGCCGAGGACACCCTGCGCGGCTTCCCGAGCAAAGAGGCCCTGCCGCGGTTCCGCCCCTGGTTTTGGGACCGCGGCCAAGGGGCACCGCGGGCAACGGCGAGGTTGCGGCCGCCGCCGTGGAGGCCCGAGCGCCGCCCACCCGCCGTGTTCATCGGGGGGGAAGGCTCACCGTCGCGGCGACGTGCGGAGGAGGAAGGGCGGGAAGAGGAGGATGAGAAGAAGAAGAAGAAGCAGGAGGAGGAGAAGGAAGCGGTGGCACTGGTGGGTCTCAGTCGCCGGGATGTGGGCTTTACGCGGACGTGGTGCGTGCCGGTGCCCGTGCCGAATTGTGGCGTTTCAACCACTGGGAGCCTCGCTGGCTTAGGCGGCGGTGGTGATGATGATGACGACGATGAAGAGGACACGGAGATGAAGCGGGTGCTAGAGCGGCTGGGCTTTGAGCCCGGCCAGCGCGTGCGCTGGGTACTGGGCTGGCAGAGTTTCAGCGGTGGTGGGGGTTTGGAGCGACTGGGACAAGGAGGCGAAGATGGGAAGGGGACGCTGACGGGTAATCCGGAGCGGGTGGGAAATTTGGGGAGGCATCCAGAATGGTCGCAAAAGCCAGCAGACAATCCAAGAGCACTGTCCGGTCAACACGAGCAAGCAGGAAAGTCCCAGGTTTATCTGGAGCGAACGGACGTGTCGGGACTTGATTTGCCACCAGCAGGGAAGTTGGAGGGGTGTCTGACGCAGGCGAGGAACCCGGCAGACAATCGAGAACCAAAGGCAACGCCCGAGAACAACCGAGAGCTCGTGGCAATATCCGGTTCGGAGCGAGCGAGACCTCTGATAGGCCGTCAGAAACGTGAGCGCGCGAGTAGTCCCGAGCGAGCGGGAGAGTGGGATAGGCGCGCGGAGCTTGTGGAGACCACGGATATCCCGGCGGCGGGCAACCTCAATTGCGTGGGGGTGCCGACGTGCAGCAGCCCGGTGCAAGAGCGGGAGTGGGAAGATGGGCACGGCGGGCGTGAGGCCGACGCCGAGCGGCGCGGGCGGGCGGCGCTGCGGGGCGCGTGGTCGCGGCTGTGCGGGGCGATGGCGCGAGGGGAGATGCGTGGGTGCCACGGGCGGCTGCGGGTCGACCCGCCCGAGCTGTGGATCTACTGCGACGCTGGCGCGGCTGCCGCGGCGGGGCGGCGCGCCAGGGCGCTGCTCGGCGCCACGGGCCCCACAGCCCTCGCCGTCTACACGCACGGGGTCGTCTTCGCCCGCCGTGGCGCGGGCGTTTCTCCTGCCGCTCCACCTCCGCGGTGACGGGGGCAGCTGTCGCCGTGAAGTAAAAAAAAAAAATTTGCGCCGGGCGACGCTGCAGAGAGAAATCGAGTGCAAACCCACCCAACCCCCAAACGTAATTACGATTTTCTTTTGTACGGCTGCTGATGTAGATGCAGAGCATCGACTACGATTTCACATTCAGGTGGTCCAAGTCAGACAGCTGCATCAGGAGTAGCGGAGTGGTAGCATATCATCGTTGCCGTGATGCCTCCTTCCTTATTTGTGGATCGGGGCATTGCGTCGTGATACGTTGTGTACGGTCTGTTCTGGATTGCCACAGTCGCACACCACCACTGGAGAGTTCTTAATTCTTCCATTTGTGCATCAGCTATCCGCATCTGCTGCCATGGTTTGTGCAGAGGATGCGGCTTTAGGTGTATCATGAGCAGCTTCGTGGAAGATCAAACCCAGGGGATCTTCCACGTTGAGTCTTGCACAAGGTGGTGTTTGTTTGCGAGTTCGTTTAAACTCCATTCAGCTCTACCAAGCTTCATCAGGGGTTGAATTTGCATTGTTTGAGGTTAAGCGCACGGGTAAACCCTTCGTAGTTAAAGCACAGTGCAACAGTCGCATATCCGACCGTTACAGATCCGTCTTCGCCGATTGACTGCCAACACCCGGTTGACTGCACGGCATAGCTGTCATTTTTCTATCGACGTTTTACAGATCCAGGCCATTTCGCATGCACTGTTGTGGTCTTAATCTCGCGTACATATTCGCTCACTTGTAAGGAACCGGAAAGAGAGGAAGACCGAACAGAGACTACAGCCTGACGCGGCTGTGCAGTGATGAGAAAAAGAAACTGCCATTATTTGGATACATGTAGGATGGACGACAACATGAAAATGAAAAGCGTGTTGGTGTTAGGAAAGGAACAGGATAGATGTGCTAATTGTTTTTTTACCCTTTTATCTGCCAACAAAACTGACACCTTTTTTACAAGGAGTCATGTTTGCATAGACCACAATACCTGCAGTCATAATGAAAAAAAACATAACTGATAATGTATGCACTGTCCTTGAAGTTGATTGGTCCACACCCGAGACAGCTTTCCTTAGAGCGGGTATGGACCAATCAACTTCAAGGACAGTGCATACATTATCAGAGTTATGGTTTTTTTCATTATGACTGCAGGTATTGTGGTCTATGCAAACATCACTCCTCGTAAAAAAGGTGTCAGTTTTGTTGGCAGATAAAAGGTTCAAAAACCAATTATCATTTTTTTTACTGGCAAATGAGGTACCAATGGTGAGGATAGATGTGGCCACTACTTGATGCATATTGCCACTACAAGACAGAGAGGAAAGCTGAAACAACAAAGGACAAAATGTGCAATAGCCACCTACTCCGGGCTATCTGCCCCATGCATCGTGATGATGATGATAATGTAAAGCTCGGTAGAGCATTTACTCTTTGCACTTATTTTTTTGTTATCCAGTAACTTATTTTTGCACGGTGGTGGTACTGTTGATTTTCTTGTATCGGTGTTCACATATTCACATTTTTTTCATGCAACGTCCTGTACTTGGGGTCCCCCAGGCAGTTGGATATGCAACATCGGACCGTAAATATCCGCACAGCGACGCCTCGTCGTTGAGCCTCAAGAACTCGTTGCGGGAGGCTCTTGCATCGGGGGATTGTTGGGCTCCCTTTCAATCACTTTTCTTTTAACGTGTAAGCTCATCGTGACCTCGGGAACTTTCGAAGTTTTAAATAATCTTGCGTCGTTGCGAATGTCACGCTTAATTTGTGGCTCTGGGCACAGTCCGGTCTTCTAGAACGCCGCGTGCTGTTGTTGTTACAACGCGACTTGAATAGAACGCGATGAATGTATTCGGGAACACAGTTTTGTTACAACGCGGATGCGAACTGGATGTGACGCGACCGAGCGAACGGAACTGCGTCGCGCGCGAGTAGGAACAAGCGTTCGTACGGCTGCCTCGGCGTAGCTTCACACAAGGCATTGAGATGCTGCTGGATTCTTCTAGATGCTTCTAGATGCTACCCACCACGTGTCTCGGCCTTTGTTAGGGCCCTGCGTTACGCGTCTCGCGCACCATCGCAGACTGTTTCTTTAACCCCTATATATTATTGCAACGCGATTTTTTCCATAGGAGAACACAAGACTGCAGATGTCACGGTTTGATATTTGTCGTCGCTGTTATTTTGCTCGTGTGCTGCAGTTTAGCGCAGTGGGGTTCTCAACCTTTTTCCTTTGCTACTGTTACCCCCCATTGTTGAGTTTTGTTTCAACCGAGTAACCCCCCCCCCCCTCCTTTTGCCTGACCCAACGTGGTGCTGAGAATTCCATGTACGAACAAATGTTTTCGTATGATAATAGGTTTTTCCCCTTTTTTTCTGGAAACAAAACAGCTGTGTTAAGATGTTAAAACACCAAACTGTAACCTTGTACAAGGAATCATGTCTGCATTAACCACAATACTTGTGGTCAGAATACAATTAAAAAACATACTCTGATAATATATTTTGTCCTTGAAACTGATTGGTCCACACCAGAGAGCTTTCTTTTGAGCCTCGTCTCAAACGGTGTTAGACCAGAGGACGCCTTTTGGCGAGGCTCAAAAGAAAGCTGCCTCTGGTGTTGACCAATCAGTTTAAAGGACAATGCATATATTATCAGAGTATGTTTTTTTTTACATTCTGACCACAAGCATTGTGGTTAATGCAGACATGATTCCTTGTAAAAGGTTTCAGTTTGGTGTTTTAACATCTTAACAGCTGTTTTGTTGCCAGACAAAAAAGGGGAAAAACTTATTATCATATTTTGGTACTGGCAAAGGAGGTCCCATCAATGTTTTCACTAGTTGTCTATTTTATCAGGTTTATCCTAACTAAGCTCGTAACTGCAAGCGAATAAGAAATCAACGGGACGCTCTGCATGCGTGACGTCATTCGTTCGCGCTCGCTGGTTACTCTTGGAGACCCGCGTTGTTAACCATCGGTGAGTTTAGAGAGGTCTTTTTTCTCGTTCTAGGTTACCCCATACGTATACGCATTTTATCGGAGCTAATTGATATCGGCAGGTTCATACGCGATTATTCACCGACTCACATTTTATAAATCGCCTCACGTAACTCCCAGGGACATTGCAACGTTACCTCCCCCCTCCTCCCCCGGTTGAGAACCGCTGTTTTCACATAAACCGAAACGCTCTGAACGGCTTCTCGAGGTTCAACCGATCTTTTAAATTCTCAGTGCTGGAATTTAGCCAAAATAAGTGCCAAACTAAGCACAAAAAGCAGTTCTAAAGAAATACGTTTGCAATCCAGATGTCTAAATGTAAATTATTGTCATCAATTCGCTGCACTTGAAAACCCAGATTAATCACAGGCGGTGGCTGGAACCAGGATTCGAACCCAGGTTCCCAGCGGTCCCGGCCAGTGGATAGATCATGGCTGACCATGACGACAATGATTGGCGGAAGCTCGAAGCTAATTTTCAACCTACCCACGCCTGGCTCATGTGATCTGCGTTGCGTCACATTTATTTTCTTGTCACGGTTAATGTTGAAGTTTTGGAAAAATTGACTGCCATGTGGTGCATGTTTTAAGTTGTTGTTGTGTTGTTAATGTTTAAGTTAAAATAAAAGTTTTACATTTTTTGATATCGGCGTTTTGTGATTTATTCTCGCACCTACAACTCACCACAGTAATTGCCTGAGACTCCAGTAGGGGATAGTGTCACTGCTGAGATTCCCACAGGAGAGAGTGTCTGGAGTGATCCCAGATGAGTGAGCGTGCATATGATGCCACACTGCCTCATTCTAGTCATCCATTCAAGCCCTGACCAAATACCAACTCCTGCTTTGCATCTGCAACATGGCTAAGGCTGTGGTATTTACGTGTGTATGTTGAACTTCTTTTGCACCGTACATAGCCAACTGCTAATTGGAGGTACGGGGGAAGACCAAGCTCTAGACCAGGGGTCGGCAACCTATGGCTCCGGAGCCGCATGCGGCTCTTTACAGGCTGCTTCTTGACGATATGTACAGTATGTACTCAGATGCATTGCAGCTCTTGAAATACTGAAATTTGTACCGAATTGGAAATAAATGGCTCTTCTTGTTATTTTGGTTGCCGACCCCTGCTATAGACAAAAAGCAGTTCTTAAGAAATTAGCTTTCGATCTAGATTAAAAAGTGCATAGCTCCAGCGGTTTCCTAATATCGGAAGGAAGAGCATTCCAGACGGCCGCAAAAAGCGCATCTGAAAGCGCGCGATCTGGGTGACCGTCTTCGTTCGATGGCTATTTTGGGCGCCAAGATGGCGAGATGTTAACTACCTCGCCTGGAATACAGGAGGTTGTGGGTTTGATCCTGACCCTGACACCTGTATATTTGGAGTTGTCATGTTCTCCCTGTGGTGGCCTGCATTTTTATTCGGGTGCTCCGGTTTTCCCCGCCACATATAGAAGCATGCGTCGAGAGTATTTGGCTGATGTACAGTTCCACGTGATAAGCCAATTCGTTGAGCTATCATTTGTGGCCAGGTCACTTCTGAAAAAAAATTGTAATATGTAGCTCAGTGGCTTTTATCTGGTAAAATAAAAAACAGTTTAGAGTTTTATCTTGAAGGAGTCTACGTGACAATCGATTCTTGCCGCTCACCTTCCCCCCTTATCTCCCCGCCGTCTCTCCCCTCTCTCTCTGTCTCTTTCCCTTCGTCCCTGCATCTGCCATCCGGACCCCAACCTGTGTCCCCCCCCCCCCCTCATCGTGCCCTTTTGCAGTGATGCGCCTCACCCGGCCGTCTCTGCACATCGCCCTTCCCGTTTCTTGCGAGGAGAGGGACCTAGCAGGTGAGTGTTGCGCTGATGAGAGGGGCATGCGACTGTCACGCTTGGATGGCATCTGACATTAGTTTTGTTGGTGTGCGTGCATGGCGGCCAGGCATGGTGCTGGCCAGCCTTCATCAGCGCTAATCGCAAAGCAGCACTTGCCCCGACAGACTGTTAAAGGCTATATGGGGGGTCTTTGTCTTTGTGTGTGTGTGTAGGGGGGCTGTTGGGACAGTGCCCCCCCGACCGTGCAGCGTTTGTAAGTGGGGGGGACTGCACGGTGCTGGGAGACATGCTGACTCTCCCACAGAACTTTGGGTAAGAATTCCCACAATCCCATTCTCGAGAACTAGATTAAAACAAACATTTTCCAGGGAAGGCCTACGTAGCTCTTTGTTTAGAAGCGACTTGGCTATCACAAATGACAGCTCAACGAAGTGACTTATCACCGTGCGGAAATGTATAGCAGGCAAATACTTCTAAACACGTTTACGCAAATGCTCTAAACTGTTATAAATTTCCACGTTATGATAAGTCGCTTTGTTGAGCTTTCATTCGTGAAAGCCAGGTCGCTTCTGAACAAGAGCTACATAGCTCATTGGGGCCTTGCCTGGTAAAATAAAACAAAATAGTAAATACATGTGTCCCTCTACAAAATTGTATTTATCAAGTATTTTAAACATCCCATCAGCAGGGCTGTCCATAGGTGGGTGCGGGGCTCCGCGGCAATCCGCACTAAACTGAACTGTTATTTTTTATTTCACCAGGCAAGGCACACTGATCGATAGAGCCCGTTTTCAAAATCAGAATATTTATTTAGACTGGAGAATCCGATGAGCTACGAAGCTCTTTTTCACATGTCCAGTAGGGGCTCGGTGTACAAACGTTAAAACAACAAAAGAGAGAGACCAGGCTGTGACAAACGATAGCTTATCGCCATCGCGTGGAAGTTTATTGCAGTAAAACTTGGTAGGTGTTGTCTAAACAGGTCTGTTAAAGGGCAACGCGTTTGGGGGGTGGGGATCTTTGTCTTTGTGCAGCAACATCTTCCTGGGAGAGACCTTCTCCAGCTACATCAGCGTGCACAACGACAGCAGCCAGCTGGTGCGCGACGTCTCCATCAAGGTGAGGGCCGTCGCCACCAGTCAATGTGTGTGCGCGTGTGTACGTGCGTGCATACGTAGAACTTCTTGTGCACCGTACGTAGCGACAGCTTGCTCGTCGGAGGTGCTGCGTTGAGTCTATGGGCAGTATATACATGTGTATGTAGAACTTCTTTAGCACCGTATGTAGCCAACCATGCTAATCGGAGGTTTGCAGCGTTGAGTCTATGGGCAGTGTGTATGTGTTTATGTAGAACTTCTTTCGCACCATACGTAGCCAATGGAGGTGCGGGGGAAAGATAAAACTGTGAACTATTTTTATTTTACCGGGTAAGGCTCTACTGAACTCTACAGCTCTTGATAATTGTTTTTTTACCCTTTTATCTGGCAACGAAACTGACACCTTTTTTTACAAGGAGTCATGTTTGCATAGACCACAATACCTGCAGTCATGATGCAAACAAAAAACATAACTCTGATAATTATGACTGCAGGTATTGTGGTCTATGCAAACATGACTCCTTGTAAAAAAAGGTGTCAGTTTTGTTGCCAGATAAAAGGGTAAAAAAACAATTATCATATTTTTTACTGGCAAATGAGGTTCCAATGGTATACAGCTCTTTTTCAGAAGCTACCTGGCCACAAATGGTAGCTCAACATCGTGTGGAAATCTATATCGGCCAAATACTCTTAACCGCACGTCGATTGTAAATGTGGAGGGAAAAACCGGAGGACCCGGAGGAGAATCCACGCGACCATCAGGGAGAACATGCAAACTCCAAACATACAGGAGTCGTCAGTTCTACAGAAATTAGTTTTTAATCTAGATGATTTAAAAGTGCACAGCTCCAGCGGCTTCCTAATGTCGGAAGGAAGAGCGTTCCAGACGGCCACAGAAGCGCATCTGAAAGCGCCGCGCGATGCAGCGACCGTCTTCGTTCTATGGCCGGCCAAAAGCCGCAGTTGTTGACAATGGCCGGAGTTTTCGCGATGGTTCATGCTCCTTGACGAAATCAGCCAGGTTTTGTGGTTCATTTGTGCAAACACTTTTGTGTGTGTAATGTGAGGATATATCTGGGTCGCTGACGGATCACAACTCGTCACTATGATTGGCTCTGCCGGTCCTGGTCCATAGCCAATGGGGGTAAGCCTAGGGGCGTGGCCCTGACGTAATAAAAAGGTGACAGCTGTAAGTAGAGGATTGGTTCTGCTGGCTTTAGCCACAGCCAATGGGGAGACAAGTCAGGGGCGTGGTCCCGGGAACCTACGGTGGAGTCTAGAAGATTCCATAGAGGCTAACCAGGATTGGTGGAAAGGTACCACGTGACCCGGGTATTAAATAGGGGTGGAGACGAACGACACGTGGTCAGAACTGGAACGAACGAAGGGAAGAGGCCACGCGAGAGCGGGGGTCCAGGCTGCCACGTGGCTACGCGCGTCTCTCTCTTTCTATCCCTCTCACGCTGTCTGTCAGCAGCGTGAAGGAGTGTTGTAATGAAAGACGAATACAGACCGGATTCCAGAAGTCGCTTCAACGACCTTTATTACACGCGTAACGAGTGGATCTATGCACGTTTAAATCTGGATTGAAAACTCGCATCTTTAGGACTGGCTTTTTTGTTGCGTGTAGTCTTGTCGGCCCTCCCCCCGCGCCTCTGACGGGCAACGGTTGGGCTCCGTACGGTGCGCACGTAGCGCTTTAGTCGGGCAGACCGTGCAACGGAGAGTTAACGCACTCTTAGGTTTTTTCGGTAAAGTCACGGAGCATGAACCACCCGATGGCGGAGACTTGTGTTGCCTCCGAAACGTCGTGGTTTATTATTTTATTTTATTTCTATTATTTTAGTAAAATTTGTAATTTTATTTTTTACCTACGTGACTTTACTCGAAAAAAACAAGATCCAGGATGGTCATGTCTATGCGCCGCTTCTCGGTGGCAGCCCCAACAGTCCGGAGCACCATCCCTCTGCACATTCGCAGCATCACCTCAATCGCCTCCTTCAAGAGACACTTAAAAACTCACCTCTACAATCGTGCTTTTGAGCGACTCTGAGCTTGGCTCCGCGCCTCTGAGTTGCGGTCACTACGTCTGCAAATTTGCGCGCGTTACAAATTGAACTATTATTAGTATGAATCCTCGCAGTCACGAAAACGTCAAATCTAGGAGAGTTAACGGTTTTGCTGTGCGCCCCCCCCCGCCCCCCCCCTCCGTACCCCCCCCTCCCCCCCCCGCTGTTTGAGGCCGACCTGCAGACGAGCAGCCAGAGGCTGAACCTGTCGGGGGGCTCGACGCCCCCCGCCGCCGAGCTGCATCCGGACAGCTGCATCGACGACGTCATCCACCACGAGGTCAAGGAGCTGGGAACTCACATGTGAGACAAATGCAAAGGGTCCCCCCCCCGCCGTGTAGCCTCAACATACTGTGGGGCAAGTGCCTGTTCGCGAGCAGCGACACCTATGAAGGCCGGCACGGCCTACACGAGGGGGTGGGTGGCGAGCACCACGCCCAGCCGCCTTTGTCTCCATAGTGGCGATGTTTACACACCGCACCAGGTACTCATTTCAGGCTGAGGCGACCTAGGGCAGGCCCAGGTTCGTTTCAGATAATCGTCACCGGTGTTGGTGTGGCCTAAAAGTGGCCTAAAATACAATGTTTCGCTCCGGATGATGTTTTGATTTAGTGTGCTGATCTTAAATGTGCATTGAAAAATGTTGACACTCCGACTGATGCTCCTGCTGTTGTGAAGTGACTTATGCAGCCAGCTATGGCTGCAGGGTTTGGTGGTACATGTTGTTTACGTCGTTTATTGTGAAAATTCGGTCACAGTTCCTATGATCACTGTTTCATTGCTTATGGCTTTATTTTGGTGATTTTCGAAAAGTTTTTGGTTTTGCCATGTTTGTTTGTTGTAGTACAGAGTTAGACTGATGGCCTTAATCTAAGTTGTCTTGTGGTTGTTGTTGTTTGACTTGAATCCCACTGGGATTTTTGCACACAGTGTTGGTGTACGGTGCTTTTTCTGCAATATTTTGCTGTCTTTACTTGGATTTTCTGTTTGCACTTAGTCACTTTAAGATGTTTTCTTGTTCATGTTTTTGTTTTTTGTTTGTTGCGGTTGCACCCGATTCAAGAGCCGAATGGCTCACAGGGCTATACCTAATGAATGAAACTTGAAATTTGAAAACTTGGTGGCCGTGAGCGGGAATCGAACTCGGGTCGCCGGGTTCGTGGTGCAGTGCGCGAACCGCTCTGCAGCGTTCTACGTGACAGCAGACACATGCACGTACAGGCATGCGCGCACCAGGCGTGTTATCCCGCCACCCCATGTGGTTCAATCACCGCCCTCCCCTCGGCTTTTCCCGTCACAGCCTCGTGTGCGCCGTCAGCTACGCCACGCAGAGCGCGGAGAAGCTCTACTTCCGAAAGTTTTTCAAATTCCAGGTGAGCATCGCACTTCCGCCAAACCCCCTACCTCCCCCCCCATCTTTTCCCTCTCCATTCGCGGTCACTGAGAAGTTGATTTTCAGAAGCGGTTCTTTGATATCCGCTTCCGGCGGGGCCATTCTCTTAACACACGGGGGGCTGTGCCCCCTCCCGCCCCCCGCTAGCACGATCGCGATTGAAATCTGCGACAAAGAAAAAAATAAAAACTTTTAAGTTCTTGCGACGTAAAATCGTTCAACTTTCATTTTTTTCCGCCGCAGGTGTTGAAGCCTCTCGAAGTCAAGACAAAGTTCTACAACGCCGAGGTAAGGCCCCACCGAGCCGTATCGCTCTCTTTCAGAAGCAACCCGGCCATCACAGAACGATAGCCCGACGAAGTGGTTTATCATCGACGTCGCGTGGACATTTATAGCAGCCAAATAACTCTTTAACATGCATGACATCCAGTCTAAATGTGGAGGGAAAAACCGTGAGGAGCCGGAGAAAAATCCACGGGGTCACGGGGGGAGAGAGAGAGAGACACACACACAAACTTCAAATATACAGCAGCAGGCATCGTCAGGGTCGGGATCGAACCCACGACCTCCTGTATACCAGGCGAGGGAGTTAACATCTCATAGCCACCGTGATGATGATGAGAGAGAGACACACACAAACTTCAAATATACAGCAGCAGGCGTCAGGGTCAGGATCAAACCCACGACCTCCTGCGTACCCGGCGAGGTAGTTAACATCTCATAGCCACCGTGATGATGATGATGAGAGAGAGAGACACACACAAACTCCAAATATACAGCAGGCGTCAGGGTCAGGATCGAACCCACGACCTCCTGTAGACCAGGCGAGGGAGTTAACACCTCACCACCACGGTGTGGCTGCCATGACCGATCCTGAGGTTGTTTGCGGTCAGGACTCAGACTCGGGGATTCCGTAGCGCTGTGCGCTAACCACTACCACCAGCCCTCCGTGCCCCAAGTATCAAATATGTTTGGTATGAAATCCAAAGTCGTCGCTATACGTGATTGGATAATGCATGTTATGATTTTGTTGTTGTTGTTGTGTTCCCGTAATGCCCTGTGTGACTTTGTAGGCTGTGCATTCTCGGTTGTGTTGTTTGGTTTAATTTTGCTCATTGTAACCGCTTGAATTTTATTTTTCTCATTCCCCACCCTCATTCCCTCCCTCCCACCCCCACCCCTCTCTCCCTGTGAATCCCCCCCCACCGCACCCCTCCCAACACCACCTGTGCCTCTCACAATTTTTCCAACATTTCCTCTCCTCTTTTATCCACTCCCCATCCCTCTCTTTCTCTGTCTGTGCCTCTTTCTGGATCTCTCTCTTTGTCCGACTGCCAATCTCCCTACGTTTCTCTATATCTCTCGGCATTTCTTTCCGCATGTCTCCCTCTGCTTCTGTTAATTTCCCTATGTCTCTCTCTCTGCATCTCTCTCTCTCTCTCCTACTCCCCGTGTCTCTCTGTCTATCTCTCTGCCTGTCCGTCTACGATCCTCTCTGTGTGTCTTTGGCTTTACACTCGATCTCCCACGGTCTACTTCATCTGTCTCCTTCGTCACGCGCCTGTTTGACACTTTCTCCATGTCTCTTCCACTTCGTCGGTCTCTTCTACAATTCTGTCCGTCTCGCTCTCTGTGTTTGCCTTGGGCCCCTTGCCTCTATCTCTCGACGTCTCTCGTCCGTGTCCGTCCACGTTCCTGTCCGCTTCACTGTCTCCGTCTGCGACTTGCTGTCTGTATCTGCGACTCTGTCTCTCCCCATACCCCACCCACCCACCGAACCCACCCACCCTCCATCCCTGTAGGACGAACTCAGTGCAGTGGTAACATCCTCCACCCTCCCCCGCATTGTCCACCCCCCTGCTTATCTCTACCCTTGGGTTTGATGACCCCGGCGGTGCCACCCACCCCACCCCCCGCTTCCCCCCCCCTACCCGCCACCGCCTTCAGCCTAACCGCAACGCCGGATGCTGCCCCCCCACTAACCCCAATCCCCCGCCGCGGGTTTTTTACCGTTTCACCGTAGCCGCGCGGGGGCCACGTGCCGTTTGCGTCACCGTGACCTTCTGCGTGCGCTGCTGCTGCTGGTGGTGGTGGTGGCGGTGGCTCTCTGCGAACCCTGCGTGTGTGCGTGCGTGTGTGTGTGCGTGTGTGCGTGCGTGTGTGTGTGCGTGTGTGTATGCGTGCGTGTGTGCGTGGGGAGCGGTAGCGTAACGGCGGTTAGCGCGCTGCGCTACGAACCCGGCTATGGCCCATGTTGGATTCCCGCTCACGGCTCAACACCAGTGACGATTGTCTGAACCGACTCTGGGCCTCCCCTAGGTCGACTCAGCCTTAAACAAGTGCCTGATGCAGTGTGTAAACATCGTCACTGGGGAGACAAAGGCGGGCGGGCGGGTGTGGTGCTGGCCACCCACCCCCTCGTGTGCCGTGCCGGCCTTCATAGGTGTTCGCTAACAGCACTTGCCCCAACACTCTAAGGGATGTACGGGGGATCTTTGTCTTTGTGTGTGTGTCTCAAGACACGTGCTGTCGCGTTGACATTCTGCACTCTGCATGGCGCCCCCCCTCCCCCCCGGCGGCGGCCCCCCCCCCGCCCCCCCCCACCGTCCAGCGTCAGCCCCCCCTGCTCCCCCCGGTTTACCCTCACCTACCCCACACCCCCCGGGTTTGTAGTGCAGCAGCACTGCCCGCTGCTATAACCGCTACACTACCACACTGCTGCCAACGCGGCAGCAGCAGCGGTAGAATCATCGGGGCAGCGGTAGAATCATCGGGGCAGCGGTAGAATCATCGGGGCAGCGGTAGAATCATCGCAGCAGCGGTAGAATCATCACAGCAGCAGACTCTCTGGGCTCCGTGGACCAGGAGGCTCCTGTGCGGCTCGCTGCCGTAGCTCCGCCGATGAAGTCGTCTTCCAGTTTCCCCCACTTGGGTGCTTTGGGGCTTTCGATTCAATCCTCAACGGGGGCGGGGGGGAGGGCGAGTTGCGCCGATCGCTTTTGCTCTTCTCCGCAACCACCGCAACCACCGCCACCACCACTACCACAGCTGCCACCGCTGCCACCGCTGCCACCACCACTGTCGCTGCCACCGCTACTACCGCCGCCGCCACTACCACCACCGCCACCACCATCGCCACAGCTGCCCCTGCTGCCACCGTCACCATCACCGCTGCCACCACTGCCACCGCTACTACCGCTGCCGCCACTACCACCACCGTCACCACCATGGCCACAGCCGCCGCTTTGCCGTAGTTTTAATTGACGGCAGCAGGGGGTGCCATTGGAGTGCCTCGCGGCTGGTGGGATTGGGGGGGGGTCGCCTGCCGTCCATCGGTTGAAGTGGTGGGTGGCCGTGAGCGACACATGCGCCTCTGTGTGTGTTGTATGCGTGATGTGTGAGGTGTGTGTATGTTACGTGTGTATGTTACGTGTGTGTGAAATTTCTGTGTGCGTGATGTGTGAGATGTGTATGTTACGTCTGTGTGAGATTTCTCTGTGTGTGTGATGTGTGCGTGATGTGTGAGGTGTGTGTATGTTACGTGTGTGTGTGTGAGATTTCTGTGTGTGTGTGATGTTTGTGTGTGATAAGTGCGTGAGATATCTGTGTGATGTCTGTTATATCTGTGTGTGTGTGTGCGCATGTGTGATTTCTGTGTGTGAGATATCCGTGTGGTTAATCCGTGTGTGTGTGTGATGTCTCTGTGTGAGGTTGCGTGTTTGTGAGATATTGTGTATGATGTGTATTTTACGTCTGGGTGTGAAGAATGCGTGCGAGATATGTGTGCACGTGTGTTTGTTGTTGTTGTGTAGCTGTTTATAACTATGCTTCTGTTTATGCACATGTCTCTGTGTGCCCTGCGCTTGTCTGTGTAGTGTGTGCGCACTGCGCACTGCGCACGTGTCTGTGCGCTGCACAAGTTTCTGTGTTGGTGTGTGCTGCGCGTGTGTCCATTGCGCGCGTTTCTGTGTGTGAGCGTTGTGCGCGTGTCTGCGTGCTGCAAATGTCTCTGTGTTTGTTTACTTTCGTATCGGTGCGCGCGTGCGCCCCCCCCCCCCCCCCCCACAATTCACCATCTTCCTCCTGATCCCCCTGCCCCCCCCCCCGCCGCCGTGCGTGCAGTGCGAGGAGGTCTTCCTGGAGGCCCAGATCCAGAACATCACGTCGTCGCCGATGTGCGTGGAGCGCGTGTGGCTGGAGCCGTCTCCGCTGTACGCCGTCGCGCCCCTCAACGCGGTCGTGGACACCGACCCCGCATCACGGTAACCTCCCCACCGCTCCTCCACCCTCCACCTCCCCCACCGCTCCTCCACCCTCCACCTCCCCCACTGCTCCTCCACCCTCCACCTCCCCCACCGCTCCTCCACCCTCCACCTCCCCCACCGCTCCTCCACCCTCCACCTCCCCCACCGCTCCTCCACCCTCCACCTCCCCCACCGCTCCTCCACCCTCCACCTCCCCCACCGCTCCTCCACCCTCTACCTCCCCCACTGCTCCTCCACCCTCCACCTCCCCCACTGCTCCTCCACCCTCCACCTCCCCCACCGCTCCTCCACCCTCCACCTCCCCCACCGCTCCTCCTCCCTCCACCTCCCCCACCGCTCCTCCACCCTCCAGCTCCCCCACCGCTCCTCCACCCTCCACCTCCCCCACCGCTCCTCCACCCTCCCCCTCCCCCACCGCTCCTCCTCCCTCCAACTCCCCCACCGCTCCTCCACCCTCCACCTCCCCCACCGCTCCTCCACCCTCCAGCTCCCCCACCGCTCCTCCACCCTCCACCTCCCCCACCGCTCCTCCACCCTCCACCTCCCCCACCGCTCCTCCACCCTCCACCTCCCACACCGCTCCTCCACCCTCCACCTCCCCCACCGCTCCTTCACCCTCCATCTCCCCCACCGCTCCTCCACCCTCCACCTCCCCCACCGCTCCTCCACCCTCCACCTCCCCCACCGCTCCTCCACCCTCCACCTCCCCCACCGCTCCTCCACCCTCTACCTCCCCCACCGCTCCTCCACCCTCTACCTCCCCCACTGCTCCTCCACCCTCTACCTCCCCACCGCTCCTCCACCCTCCACCTCCCCCACCGCTCCTCCACCCTCCACCTCCCCCACCGCTCCTCCACCCTCCACCTCCCCCACCGCTCCTCCACCCTCTAACCTCCCCCACCGCTCCTCCACCCTCCACCTCCCCCACCGCTCCTCCACCCTCCCCTCCCCACCGCTCCTCCACCCTCCAGCCCCCCCCGCTCCTCCACCCTCCAGCTCCCCCACCGCTCCTCCACCCTCCACCTCCCCCACCGCTCCTCCACCCTCCACCTCCCCCACCGCTCCTCCACCCTCCACCTCCCCCACCGCTCCTCCACCCTCCACCTCCCCCACCGCTCCTCCACCCTCCACCTCCCCCACCGCTCCTCCACCCTCCACCTCCCCCACCGCTCCTCCACCCTCCAGCTCCCCCACCGCTCCTCCACCCTCCACCTCCCCCACCGCTCCTCCACCCTCCACCTCCCCCACCGCTCCTCCACCCTCCACCTCCCCCACCGCTCCTCCACCCTCCACCTCCCCCACCGCTCCTTCACCCTCCATCTCCCCCACCGCTCCTCCACCCTCCACCTCCCCCACCGCTCCTCCACCCTCCACCTCCCCCACCGCTCCTCCACCCTCCACCTCCCCCACTGCTCCACCACCCTCCACCCCCCACCGCTCCTCCACCTCCCTCACCGCTCCTCCACCCTCCACCTCCCCCACCGCTCCTCCACCCTCCACCTCCCCCACCGCTCCTCCACCGCTCCTCCACCCTCTCCCTCCTCCACCGCTCCTCCACCCTCTCCCTCCCCCACCGCTCCTCCACCCTCCACCTCCTCCAACACTCCTCCACCCTCCACCTCCCCCACCGCTCCTCCACCCTCCACCCTCCCCCACCGCTCCTCCACCCTCCACCCTCCCCCACCGCTCCTCCACCCTCCACCTCCCCCACCGCTCCTCCTCCCTCCACCTCCCCCACCGCTCCTCCACCCTCTACCTCCCCCACCGCTCCTCCACCCTCTACCTCCCCCACCGCTCCTCCACCCTCCACCTCCCCCACCGCTCCTCCACCCTCCACCTCCCCCACCGCTCCTCCACCCTCTGCCTCCCCTTGAATCTTTATTCGCGGTCTCGAAGGATGACATATAGTCTGTGACAGACTGTTGGGCAAGTGCAGTGGTTAGCGCGCTGCGCAACGAACCCGTAGTTCCAAGTTCGATATCCCGCTCACGGCCACTAACACCGGTGACGATTATCTGAACCGGTCCTGGGCCTCCCCTAGGTCGACTCAAATGAGTAGCTGATGCGGTGTGTCGTAAACAATCGCCACTGGGGAGACAAAGGTGGTCGGGCGCGGTGCTGGCCACCCACCCCCCTCGTGTGCAGTGCCGGCCTTCACAGGTGCTGCTCGCTCACAGCACTTGCCCCGACAGTCTGTTTAGGCTCCACGGGGGGATCTTTGGTGGTGGTGCGTATGTACGTACAATGACATTTTTCTGCACCGTACATAGCCAACCAGTGCTGATGGGATGGTGCAAATGTAACAAATGTCTCTTACCACCCACCACCACCACCCACCCACCCAACACTACCACCCACCCACTGCTACCACCCACCACTACCACCCACCACTACCACCCACCACCCCGCACCACCACCACGCCCCACCACCACGCCCCACCAATCTCCACCACCTACCACCCACCCACCACCACCACCCACCCATTGCCACCACCGCGCCAGGCTGTCGGAGGGGCGCTACCTGGGCCCCGGCGAGACGCGGCAGTTCCTGTACCGGCTGCGCGCCCGCCCCGACGTGGCGGAGAAGGCGGGCGCCGGCGGCCTGCGCGGGGTCACCCACATCGGCAAGATGGACATCGTGTGGCGGACCAACCTGGGCGAGCGAGGCAGGCTGCAGACCAGCCAGCTGCAGCGCGTGGTGCGTGTTGGGGGTGGAGGGGGGTGAGGGCGGGGGTGGAGATAGTGGGAAGGAGGTAGGGGAGGAGGCTGAGAGAGAGAGGAGGGGGGAGGTGGTAAGGTTGATGCCACGATGTTGGCGTTGGTGATGTTGGCGATGGTGATGTTGATGATGGTGATGATGTTGATGTGGGTGAAGTGGTGTTGATGTTGGTGATGGGGTTGGGAGGGGAGGAGGTGGAGATAGTGGGAGGGAGGTAGGGGAGGAGGCTGAGAGAGAGAGGAGGGGGAGGGAGGGGTAGGAGGTGGTAAGGTTGATGCCATGATGTTGGTGATGTTGGCGATGGTGATGTTGATGTTGATGATGGTGATGGTGATGATGATGTGGGTGAAGTGGTGTTGATGTTGGTGATGGTGGTGATGTTGATGTTGGTGATGTCGATGTTGGTGATGTCGATGGTGTTGATGATGTTGATGATGTTGATGGTGTTGATGATGTTGATGGCGTTGATGATGATGGTGGCGATGTGGTGTTAATGATGTTGGTAATGTTTGTGTAGTGGTGTTGATGTTGGTGATGTTGTTGATGGTGATGTCGATGGTGATGGTGTTCATGATGATGTTGGTGATTTGGTGATGTTGGTGAAGTCGTGTTAATGTTGGTGATGTGTTGATGTTGATGATGGTGGCGGTGGTGATGTGTGTGTCCGTGACTGCAGGCCCCGGGCTACGGGGACGTGCGCTTAGAGATTGAGACGATCCCTGACATGGCCCACCTGGAAGAGCCCTTCACGGTGGCCTTCAAAATCACCAACTGCAGGTGGTGGCATCATCATCATCACCATCGTCAACATCACCACCATCGTCAACATCACCACCGCCGTCATCATCATCGTCATCGTCAGTAGCATCGTCGTTATCGTCATTAGCATCAGCATCCTCGTCAGCATCATCAGGGGCATCAACATTGTCATCAGCATCATCAGTATCATCATCATTATCATCAGATCATCGTCAGGAGTGATTATGACGACGACGACCACGACGATGATGATGACGAAGACGATGATTATGATGATTATAAGGATGACGAAGATTATGACGACGATGACGATGATGATGACGACGATAACAATGATGACGACGACGATAACGATAATGACGACAATGACAACAATGATGACGACAATGATGATGATGACGACGATGATGATGATGATGACGACGATGACGACGATGATGATGACGATGATGACGACAACGACGACGACGACGATGATGACGATGATGACGACGACGACGATGATGACGACGGTAATGACGACGATGATGATGACGACGACAATGATGACGCCAATGATGACGATGATGATGATGATGACGACGACGATGATGATGACGACAATAATGACGTCGTCGGCGTTGTCGTTGGCGCAGCGAGCGCACCATGGACCTCCGTCTGGAGCTGCGCAGCTCGGACGCCCTCTGCTGGTGCGGCCTCCTCGCCAGGGACCTGGGCCGCCTGCCCAGCGCCTCGTCCCGCCAAGCGGCGCTCATGCTGCTGCCGGCCATGCCCGGCCTGCAGGTGAGGAGGGAGGGGCGTGTAGAGGGGGGGTGGGGGGGTTCGTCAGCCTTGCCCAGTCTTGTTCAGCCTGCAGGTGAGGGAGGGGGGTGTGGAGGGGGGGATCGGGGGGTTCGTCAGCCTTGCCCAACCTTGCCCAGCCATGCCCGGCCTGCAGGTGAGGAGGGAGGGGGGGTGTGGAGGGGAGGTCGGGGGTTCGTTAGCCTTGCCCAACCTTGCCCAGCCATGCCCGGCCTGCAGGTTAGAGGGCCGCCAAGCGGCGCTCATGTCAACATCACCACCATCGTCAACATCACCACCGCCGTCATCATCATCATCGTCAGTAGCATCGTCGTTATCGTCATTAGCATCAGCATCCTCGTCAGCATCATCAGGGGTATCAACATTGTCATCAGCATCATCAGTAACATCATCATTATCATCAGATCATCGTCGGGAGTGATTATGACGACGATGACGACGACGACCACGACGATGATGATAACGAAGACGATGATTATGATAATGATAAGGATGACGAAGATGCAGGTGAAGGGGGTGGGGGGTAGTTGGGGGGGGGGGGGACGGGTGGGGGGTGGGGCTCGCCCCACCCGCAAAGAACACTTTCCCAGTTCGAGTAGCTGTGTGACGTTCCGCTGGCGATTACAACAGCAGCAGCAACAACAACATCAACCAGCCTCATCGGGGCGGGGGGGCGGGGTGCGATTGCCAGAATTTCTCTTTTTGATTCTTTCGGTAAAGTCACGTAGAAGGGAAATAATAAAATAATAAAAATTAAACAGTAAAATACAATTCTCACGACGTTTCGGCCACAACGCAAGCAGCCGTCCTCAGGTGAAGATCAGGGCTGTCGGAAAGACAGCGTCTGAAGAAGATGAATCCCTGCAGTCACGAAAGCTTTAAATCGAAATTTGCCAGAATTTGTCTCACAATTGACTGCTTCTTTGCCCCCCCCCATCCCTCCCATCACCCCCCCCCCCACCCCCCTCCACTGGCAGAGCGTGTCTGGAATCCGGCTGACGGACACGTTCCTCAAGAGGACCTATGAGTTCGACGACGTAGCCCAGGTGCTGGTGCTGTCGGAGGAGGACGAAGAGGAGGAGGAGGAGGTGGCGGTGGCGTTGTAGATGGGGAGACGGTGGAGGTGGAGGAGGTGGCCGCGTTGCAAACAGGGGACGGAAGAGAGGAGGAGGAGGAGGAGAGGAGAAGAGGTGGCGGAGGCGGGGGCGGCGTCGGCGGCGTCGGCGACGTCGTAGACGGGGGACGGGGGAGGAGGAGGTGGTGGCGGAGGAGGTGCCGACATCGTAGACGGGGGAGGAGAGGAGGAGGATGAGGAGAAGGGGGGGGCTGCCCCGCCCGCCCCCCCCCCACACCTCCACCCAACCCCATTCTGTCTCACCCTGACCCCCCCCGTTCCTGGGGGGGAGTCAGGAACGTCCGCGGCGTTCGCCAGGCCTCTGCGGCCATCGTTGTCGTCGTCGTCGTCGATGATCTTCAAATCAATCACCTCCCCACTCCCCCCTTGAGAGAAACTCGTCAACAAACTTTTCCTCCGCTGGCGTCGTCCGGGGCCTTGAGGCGGCGTGGGCCACGCCTGAACCAAAACAATACGTTCTTAGTTGTTTATTTTTTGACCAGCTAAGGAAAGGGGGGCCCCCCCCCCACCCATGAGCTGTGTGTATAGTTATTTTTTTTTTCCCAGAAACGACCTGGCTATCGGAGACAATAGCTCAACGACGAAGTGGGCTTATCGTCGTCGTCGTGTGGAAATTTGGAGCGGCGGCAAATGACTCTCTGAGCACGTGTGACGTCGATTCTAAATGCGGGGGCAGGGAGAAAGACAAAAGAAAGAAAACTTCGAGGACCCGGAGAAGATAAATCCACGCGACTACAGGGAGAGAGAGAGAGACGCGCAAACTCCAAATATACAGCAGCAGGCGTCGTCAGGGTCTGAATCGAAGCCCCCGACGTCCTGCATACCTGGCGAGGTAGTTAACATCTCCTAGCCACCGTGATGATGATGAGAGATAGAGAGAGACACGCAAATCTACAGCAGGCGTCGTCAGGGTCAGGATCGAAGCCACGATCTCCTGCAAACCTGGCGAGGTAGTTAACATCTCCTAGCCACCGTGATGATGATGAGAGAGAGAGAGACACGCAAATTCCAAATATGCAGCAGGCGTCGTCAGGGTCTGGATCGAAGCCACGACCTCCTGCATACCGGGCGAGGTAGTTAATATCTCCTAGCCACCGTGATGATGATGATGAGAGAGAGAGAGACACGCAAATCTACAGCAGGCGTCGTCCGGGTCTGGATCGAAGCCACGACCTCCTGCATACCTGGCGAGGTGGTCAACATCTTCGAGCCACCGTGATGATGATGAGAGAGAGACACGCAAATCTACAGAAGGCGTCGTCCGAGTCGGGATCGAAGCCACGACCTCCTGCATACCTGGCAAGGTAGGTCAACATCTCCGAGCCACCGTGGCGCCCCACTTGACGAGTAGCCGACGGCGACGGTGAGCGAGAGGGGAGAGAGATGCACTCCCCGGTATCGCCATCACTCCGCCTGAAATCAATCTCTACGCTTGACGGTGGCCATTGTGAATCGTGTCTGGCATTCTTTCCAGTGGCGCGTGCGGTGTTGGTGCGCGGTGACAGCGATTATCTGAACCGATCCTGGGCCCTCCCCTAGGTCGACTCGGCCTCAAATGAGTACCTGGGTGTGACGTGTAAAACATCGCCACTAGGGGGAGACAAAGGCGGTCGGTCGGGCGTGGTTTTGCTGGCCACCCTCACCTCGCTCCTCGTGTGCCGTGCCGGCCTTTATAGGTGCTGCTGCTCGCTAACAGCACTTGCCCCCCAACAGTCTGTTACAGGCGACACGGGGGATCTTTGTCTTTGTGTGCCCCTCGGGGACGAGAGACGCCCCAAACCCTTGCAGGGCTTCGATGTGGCCAGGAGGTGGCCGGCAGTGCTGGTGAGAGTTTTATAAGGGGGTGCTGCACTGACCCATCGTCGTATATATTGATTTGTGTTTTCCCATAATAGTGGGGTTTTTTGGGGGTTTGTGTAAATATAAATGTGATTCATACTCTTTGGTTCTTTCTGTGAAGTCACATAGGTGAATTTTTTTGATTAAAATAAAAAATAGAAATAACTAAATTAAATCACGACGTTTCGGAAGCAACACAAGCTTCCGTCATCAGGTGGAACAACCACAGTAATTTTTGTTTCTTACTGTCGTTCCGAAACGTCGTGATTGAATTGAGTTATTTCTATTTTTCAATTAAAATTTTGTATTAATTGTTTCACCTACGTGACTTTACCGAAAGAACCAAAGAGTTTAAATGTGATGATGATGACGACAACGACGACAATGCCCACGACCATAACGATGATGACGATGACGACGATGATGACGATGACGACAGCAAATTAGTAACGAGGTTTGTCACGTAAAAAAAGACTCGTTAGTAAACCCCACATTTACAGAAGCCTTCTATTATGGATAGTATTGGTGTTAAAATTGGATTTGGTTTGCGTGTTATCCCTTGCTGTGTGCATCGATTGTTATTTTGCGCGGGCACTGATGAAGCTGGTGGTAATTACTGGCGAAACGTTGTTCTCAGATTGTAAATGTTGTGGCTTGGCTCTCCAACACACCGGTGTGCTGTACTAGTGTACTACACCATACACTACACTATACACTACACTATTATACACAATACACTACACTACTATACACTACACTACTATACACTACACTATACACTACACTACACACTATACACTACACTATACACTACACTCTACACTACACTCTACACTGCACAATACACTATACTACACATTACACTATACACTACACTACTATACATTACACTATACACTACACTGGTGTGCTGTACTCGTGACGAATTGGCCACGTTCTGTTTACGTGACAACCCTTACTGGTTGGCTGTGTCGGGTGGTGGCGGGTTTTAACGACACATTTATATATTTACGTGATCGAATCCAAAAACCTCTATCATGCTGATTTCTACTCGCCCGTACCGTGCATGCACGCACGCACGCACGCACCCACCCACGCGCAATAAATAATATATTCTCACCGAAGACTTGGCCAAAGCTTGCCAATAAAGAATCTCACGAGTTTAATCGATTATAGCGCTGTCCTCCTATAACGCCGCGTGTCGCTGGATGTGCACAGGACGACAGTGCGATGAATGTGTTCGGGAACGCGATCTTTTACGTAACGCGATCGAGCAGAGCGGAGAACCCCCTGACGCTCGTGCGAGTCAGCAACGAGCGGTGGTTGTGACGGCTGCCCCCTAGCGTAGCAGTCGCGCGAAGCATCGGGATGCTGCTGGATCCTTCTCGATTGCTACCCCATGGTGACCCTGCGTTACGCATCGCACGCGTTATCGCGGACTGTAGCTTTAACCCCCCCCCCCACGCTTTATTTTGATTCATTACAACGCAACGTTTCCGTCACGTGATGTTCTTCAGGAACGCGACAGCTGCCACCACCGCGCGGCGCGCGTAGGCAGTAGCGGTGGCAGCGACATTCGCATCTCGCCAATCGTCGTCGCGACATCATTCACGCGCACGGTGACGGGGAATTGTTTTTCGCCGACCGAGTTTTTTCGCTCGTGATAGCGGCACGCTTGCCGAGGACTCGCCGGATCGTTACCAACAACAAAAACCCAGTCCTGAGTGAGCTGACATGGTTACCCCCCCACCTCCCCCTCTACAGCCCCCATCTGGGCTAAGCGAACAGCTGACTGTGCTGGTTTTATCGTACCCGTGTACACGTGACTGACCTACCTGGGGTTGGGGTGTCATCTCCGTTTGTCGTATCGGCGATAACGAGATACCGAGGGGCGGGGGTGGGTGGCGCAAGAGAATTATCCGGCGCTGATAACGGAGGCGGAGGTGGTGGCGGCGGCGTGCGCGCGTCTCCGACTTGCACCGCATCTTCGCTGATGTAGGCAATTGAAATAAACGACCCAAATATAACTAAAGACAAAGATTCAATCCCCGTGTAGCCGGAGCAGACTGTTGAGGCCAAGTGCTGTTGGCGAGTAGCAGCACCTGTGAAGGCCGGCACTGTGGCACACGAGGGGGTGAGTGGCCAGCACCACGCCCGGCCGCCTTTGTCTCACCCCCCCCTCCCTCGTGGCGATGTTTACACATCACACCAGGTAACTCATTTAAGGGGGCTGAGTCGACCTAGGGGGGTGTTGGTGGCCGTGAGCGGGAATCGAACCCGGGTCGCCGGGTTCGTAGCACGGCGCAGCGTTAATCCGCTAGCCCCCCACTCCCCCCACCCCCCCACTCCCCCCCCGCCACTCCCCCCCCCACTCTCCCCACTCCCCACAGACATCGAACTTTGTTCCTCAATAGCCCTCACACCCCGCGCGGAGGCTCCGAGCTTCGGACGGGGGAGAGAGAGAATTTTGTCACTCGGCACAAAAAACGTGGCCCGAGAATTTTTGCAGGGAGAGAGAGAGAGAGAGAAGTTCACGCGTCGTTACAGCCGTGCAATAGATGGCGGTCGTGGCATATACATCTGCAGAACGTGAAGAACCAGTGGCATCTACATCTGCAGAACGTGAAGAACCAGTGGCATCTACATCTGCAGAACGTGAAGAACCAGTGGCCTCTACATCTGTAGAACATGAAGACCCAGTGGCATCTACATCTACAGAATGTGAAGAACCAGTGGCATCTACATCTGCAGAACGTTAAGAACCAGTGGCATCTACATCTGCAGAACGTGAAGAACCAGTGGCATCTACATCTGCAGAACGTGAAGAGCCAGTGGCATCTACATCTGCAGAACGTGAAGAACCAGTGGCATATACACCTTCAGAACGTGAAGAAACAGTGGCATCTACATCTGCAGAACGTGAAGAACCAGTGGCATCTACATCTGCAGAACGTGAAGAACCAGTGGCATCTACATCTGTAGAACGTGAAGACCCAGTGGCATCTACATCTACAGAATGTGAAGAACCAGTGGCATCTACATCTTCAGAACATGAAGAACCAGTGGCATCTACATCTCAAGAGCATGAAGAACCAGTGGCATCTACATCTGCAGAACGTGAAGAACCAGTGGCCTCTACATCTGTAGAATATGAAGACCCAGTGGCATCTACATCTACAGAATGTGAAGAACCAGTGGCATCTACATCT